AGGTGGAAAGGCAAACCTGTGTAGCTCATGAAGTATGAAACTGTACAGGACCTGTGATGCACTGCTTTCATTAATTCTACAAAGTGTGACGCCATAGTCACCAGAGCAGCACCATCGGGCTGTCTGTTCGAGGAAAATGCTTCCCCAAAACACTGGAGCTGTCTTCATCTAAGGGGCAATCTTCATTTTCATTATCTGAAGAGACGACAAAGGGTTATGAAAATATATCTACAGGAGATTAGGCTAAATTTTCATATAACTGAATGGTAGGAAATGTGATTGTTATATGGGTGGAGTGTTCAGTAGTTTCTCCAAAGGCTAGGAAAGGCGGGATAAAGACCACATACATACATGCGTAATGCCTGGGTCACTATTCAGAGTTATGGAGAATAAAGTTCTGTTGGAAGATAGGAAAGTTGTGAGCGTGTCTGACTTGTGGTAATTCATTACACAACAAAATTCAGGTTCCTTCAACATGGGTAAGATTATGCTTGATAAGTCAATAAGTAAGACAAATAGTACATATGATACTAGAGCCTCTATGAGACTGCATATTAGAGAATCTGTAGACTTGAAACGTTGAAAGTGATTTTAAACTAGTATTTCAGGTGCTTAATGGTTGGTAAATTAAATGAACTTCTAAATTTAACTTATAAGTTTAAAGTGATTATTTCCCTGAGGCAGTTTCCCACCATTTAAATATAAGTATGGGGAGCCTTCTATTTGAAGATTGTTAAGATGAAACTACGTGGCTTTTCTTTAAAATAGAAATGATTATGTAGTAGTTCAGTATCTATAGTTAATATCTTGAAATGACTTGATAGGCAGAAGGGAAAATTTTCCTTGACTCTTCTCTCTAAATTGAAATAGTTTGAGTTTTCAGTGGTGTGTTATACATAAAAAATATTATTCAGCCTTAAAAATTAAGGATACCCTTCTATTTATAATCATGTGAGGCGAGCTTGCAATGTGTTTGCCACAATACAGAGCAAAGTATGTTAAGTGACGTATGAAAGACAGAAGAACAAATCTCTGATCCTGCAGGTGTGTGCATGCATGCGTGCGTGCGTGCGTGCGTGCGTGCATGTGCATGTGTGTGCGTTGTGTGAGTGTGTGTGTGTGTTGATAGGAGGAGGGAGAGAGGGAAGAAGAAGAAGAGGAGGAGGAGGAGCACTCCTCCAATAAAGACTAGATGCTGGAGGTGAAGAAGTATCACCCACAGGATCAATCCATGTTGGAGGGAAAGCTTATCTCGCAGGAGAAAGATGGCCTTGTTTTCTGGCTTTTGTTTAATTTTTTTTTTTTCTATAAGTCATGGTGTCACTAGGATCAAAGCAGAGACACATTGAGAAATTCTCCCCCTTAGTTTTGGCTAAAGTTCCAAGTACATTTCTCTTTCCATGTATATTAGTCAATTTTCTCTTAATTTGGAGTTGTGTTTGGATCCAGAACTGGACATTAGGTCCAGAGATTTCAGGAATTATTTGACTATGTATATCAGAGTCAAACAAGTAAAGGAAAGCATGGTTGTACAAAGCCAGAGGCCGCAGGAATGTAGGATGGGCAAAAGGTACAAGGTCAGTCACACAGGAAGAGGAAGTACTAGGAACTGTACTTATGACTGATGCCTGCCATCAGCAAAACAGAAGGTATACATGAAATATGATTATGACAGAACTTACATTAAGTAGATACTTCACCTCCAGAGAAGTTTAGAAATGGCTTCTTTCTGTTTCCATGGGTGCACATAGTCCTCAATTCTATTCCCTATTACTTTAATGTTGTTTCCATTTGCCCTCTTAAAATAAAGTTACTCGACCCCATCCCCAAGGCTCCATATTCCAGCCCAGAACTCTTGCTGCCTTTCCAGAGGCCAGGCCTGTTCTAAGGTCCCAGGTAAGATACTATCAACCACCCACTAACACTCCTTAAAGTCTTCCCAACTGCCTCAAAGCACATACTGCTCAGATCCATATTTAGTCTCACAGATACTGCAAAAGACTTCTGTTTTATTGGAGACCATACCAGTACTAGGGATTTCAGATAAGACACCATATACCACCAGCTAACACCTTCTGAAGCCTGCATCTATCAGCACCCCATCACCTGGGCACAATATACTAGCCCACAGTTTCCACAGAAGAATTCTGCTTTACTGGAGGTCACACAACACTAGGACCCCCAGAGACCAATCAGGTACCAGAACCCCAGAGGCCGCACAGGGGCTTGAAATTGCAGAAGCAACATTGACACCCCAAACCGCAGAGCCACTCAGATCTCAAAAACCTCCGTGGAGACACCCTACTGGACCTGAAGAGTCATTGGTCACAAGGACCCCAGGCCACACAGGCAAGAAGGTGAGCAAGAAAATAGAAACCAAGGGAAGACACATCCAAAAACATTCATCTAACAAAGATAAACTCAGAAATCAGCATCTAAACCTATAAAACCCAACACAGATGGCCAGAGGCTTATATAAGAACATAGTCAACAACAGCCAAGATAATACAGTACCAACAGAGCTCAGCTATCCTTCTACAGCAGCCCAGGATATTCCAACACAGCAGAAGTACAAGAAAACTTATGAATATGATAGAGGCCCTTAAAGAGGTGACTAAGCCCCTTTTAAGAAATCTAGGAAAGTACAAAGAGGCAACAAAAATGAATAAAACTGTTAAAGACCTGAAAATGGAAACAGAAGTAATAATGAACACACAAACTAAGGAAATACTGGAGATGGACTAGCTAGATAAGCAAACTAACTACAGAATCAACTATTGCCAACAAAATATAAAAAATGGAAGACAGAACCTCAGGTGTAGAAGATATGGTAGAAGAAACTGATACATCAGTCAAAGAAAATGTTAAATCTAAAAAGTTCCTAACACAAAAATATCCAGAGAATCTGTGACACTGTGAAAAACCAAACCTAAGAATAATAGAAATAGAAGGAGAAAATTTCCAGCTCAAAGTCCCAGAAAAATATTTTAAATAAAATCCTAGACAAAAATGTGCCTAACATAAAGAAATAGATGCCTATAAACATACTAGACAATAGCAGAATACCAAATAGATTGGACCAGAAAATAAAGTCCTTCTGCCACATAATAGTCAAAACATTAAATATACAGAACAAAGGGTTATTAAAGACTATTAAAAGCTGCAAAGGAAGAAGACCAAGTAACATATAAAGATAGACCCATTAGGATTGTACCTGATTTCCCAATGGTGACTCTAAAACCCAGAAGGGTATGAACAGATGTCATGCAGACTTTAAGAGACCACAGACACCATCCCAGACTACTATACTTAGCAAAACTTTCAATCACTATAGATGGAGAAAATAAGAAATTCCTTGAAAAAAAAAATTAAAACAAAATCAATCCACAAATCCAGACCTATGGAAGATACTAGAAAAAAATCTTCAATCCAAGGTGGTTAACTACACCCACAAAACCAGAGGAAATAAATAATTTCACATCAGCAAAATCTAAAGAAAGGAAGCATGAGCATATGTGTGCCTACATATATGCACACACAAGCACGCGTGTGCGTGCACACACACACATACACACACACACACACACACTGCACTTCAACAACATCAAAAATAACAGAATTAGCAATCATTAGTCATTAATACCTCTCAATATCAATGGACTCAATTCCCCAATAAAAAGACACAGTCTAACAGAATGAATGTGAAAGCAGAATCCATCATTTTCCTTCATACAAGAAACACCTCAACATCAAAGATAGGCCTTACCTAAGATTTTCCAAGCAAATGGACATAAAAAGCAATCTGGTATAGCAAATCTAATACCTAACAAAATTGACTTCCAATTGAAATTAATCAAAAAAGATTAAGGAAGTGAAGGATACTTCATGATCAATAAAGGAAAAATCTACCAAGGTAACTTCTCAATTCTGAACATCTATTCCCAAAATGCAAGGGCACATTGATTTGTAAAAAAAAAAAAAAAAAAAAAAAAAAAAAAACCAAAAAAACTTTATTAAAGCTCAAATCTCACATTGAACTCTATACATTAATAGTGGAGGACTCTGATACCCTAATCTCTCCAGCGTATAGATAATCAAGACAGACACTAGACAGAGAAATAATAGAATGAGCAGATGTTATGAGTTACATGTACCTAACAGATATCTATAGAATATTTCATCCAAACACAAAACAATATACCTACTTTGAGCACCTCAAGGAACCTTCTCCAAAATTGACCATGTACCTGGTCACAAAGTAAGTCTTAACAGACACAAGAAAGTACCCCTCTGTATGTTATCAGACCACCACAGATTAAAGCTGTATCAACAACAACAGAAACAACAGAAAGCCTGCAAACTCACAACCTCTACTGAAGGATCACTGGGTCAAGGAAGAAATAAAAGAAAGCAAAGACTTCTTAGAATTCAATGAAATGAACCCATAACATACCCAAAAATATTGAAAGAACAGCTCATAGCACTACATGCCAACATAAAAAAAAGTAGAGAGAGATCTCATACTAGTGACTTGATGACACTGAAAGGTGTAGAACAAAAAGAAGCAAACACACCCGAAAGGAGTATATGACAAGAAACTATCAAACTGAAGGCTGAAACCAATAAAATGGGAACGAAGAGAAAAACAAAATGATCCAGTGAAACAAAGAGTTGGTTCTTTGAGAAAATCAGCAAAATAGAAAAACTCTTATCCAAACTAAAATGCAGACAGAGATTATCCAAATTAACAAAAATCATAAACTAAAAGAAAAATAAAAACTGCCACCAAGGAAGTACAAAGGACCGTTAGTTCACACTTCAAAAACCTGTTCTACACAAAATTGGAAAGTCTAAAAGAAATGGACATTTTGGGGGACAGGGTGTTGGGTGGGCCTAACCAACCACCTGGTGGTTCTCCCTTTAGAGTAAGGTCTCACAAGCTATGGTATCAAGCATTCTATCCTTCTGGAAGCACGTTATTAGGGAAATACAGGCCTCACCTTTATAAATGTCTGTCACCACTAGAATGACAAAGTTGAGTAATTGAAACATCCTTTCAATCACAATATCCGAAATGTATCTGCCATGGTTTTCCAAAGAAAATAAAAATGTACCCGTAAGACACGGACTGGGAGGGCGCCGGAAGAGAAGTACCGCTTTGAGAACATCGTCGGGGAAGAGTAGACCCTGTATCAGGGGTTACAATGCCTGGGACAACGTCCACGGAACTTCTGTTAACTAAGTGGGGGAACATATGGCTTGCTCCCCATTATCCTCTGCATGGGGTGTGTTCCTGTACATGATAAGAAGCAATTGCATGTAGGAAAGATTTGTTCTGCCTCACAGTTTGACGGCACATCAGCGATGCCGTGAGAGTTGGACTTTGAGTACCTGGTCATGTCATGTCTGCAGTAAGGAGCCAGGGAGAAAGGCATGCTGCTTCTCAGCTGATCTGGCTTTATCCACTTAATCAGCCCAGGCCCTACCCCAAGGAATGACGCCGCAATGAGGGTTCGTCTTCCAACCTCAGTTAATCTAAAACAGAAACTTCCCCATAGACAGGCCTAGAGGTCTCTTTCCTCAGGGATTTCTAGCTCCTGTTGAATTGACGATGTTAGAAAATAGTATCCTATGTTCTCAAAGCTCCTCTAACTAATAGAGGCTCAGTGTCCTCTGAGCACCCAGTCTACGGAGAGATATTTAATTTTATTGACTCATAGGAATTCTGTGGTAGCATCTCGCCTTGCCAGTGAATTTGTGTCAGTGGCCACAGCTGTGGACATGAAAGGAAGGGAGCGGAGTGGGGGGTGGGCACTCTTTCTCAGGCCTTGGACTGCACTGGAAGGGCAGAGGCCGCATCTTCTGGAGCAGGAACGCTGTGGCAGGTCTTTACTATCCTCTGTGTAAGGTGTTCCCCAATGAAATGACCATTTATCATTTATCTTCCGGTCTAGTGAACTCATTAATACCCCACTTTCAATTGGCACTCAATGTGCCTGTGTGGATTCCCACCATCAGCCCTCACAGCCCACTGGCCAGAATTCCAGAGCTAACCGAGCTGGCCAGCCTCATTGGATTCTGGGGTCTCATAAAGAGACGACCTAGGCTTCCGTAGTCTGTGCAGTTCTAGTCTGCTAATTACTTGTAGCCTGGTCGTGTGCATTAGCAAGCATTAGCAAGCACTTGTGCCAAGGTCTCACCTCATTTTAGTGTAAGAGTCATTAGAAACCCAAGGACTACTAATCAAGGCTCTTCGTGAAAGGGTTTTTAAACTCATATCGGTATTAAGACCAGATGGTATGAGTGTTTAAACCTAACTTGTAGTACGATTCCTGCTTCCTCCTTCTTTTCAAGATCAGAGGACCACAGCAATATATTTTTCAATCAAAGTAGGCTAGTAATTGTTATTTTCTTACTTTCTAAAGGGCTGAAGTCTCAAGCAATGTTTTAAGAACCTTCCTAAAAACCTCTGGGTCAAATGATAGTACAAGAGAGATTAGTATGCAGAAAGAAAGCCAAGACAAATGAATTTGAGTTAGGAGTATTTCATTCTGCAGCTTGCAATTTCAGCCTCCTTTCATGCCTCAAACAGCAATCTTGCATGCCACAAAGTTTAGCAAGAAAAATTTGCACAGAAACTGACTACTGAGTACTAATTCACAAAATACTATGGAAGTATCCTGCACTTTTCAGTGTACTAGGCAAACGATTTTTAAATCTATTACATTTCTTCTGCACTATCAATGAGACCTGAATTAGCAATGCCAATTGTTAAATCAGTTTACCAGATATTTGGAGTTTTCCTTTATTTTTGAGGAGCGCTAGAGACATGGATCAGCAGTTAAGAACATTTGCTGCTTTTGCAGAGGACCTGAGTCTGTTTTTCAGTAAATGGATCCCACAACTGCTCATAAGCCCAATTTCAGAATATGGGGGGGGGGAGATATAAAATAAAACACAAGCAAGAAAACAAACAAAACCACACCGAAGGATGTCAAGAAACCATGTCACTATTTTGCAAACTATTTTAAAGATAGAGTTAAAAAGAGATACCATAACAGAGGGGGCCATTATAGGTTTGGAGAGAAAACTGACACTAGAGAAATGTCCAGTGACCTACAAGGATGGCCCCACCCAACAATCTGAGCAACAGTGGAAAGGCTACCTTAAATGCCCCTCCCTGATAATGAGATTGTTAACTAACTTATATGCCATCATAGAGCCCTTATCTAGTAGCTGATGGAAACAGAAGCAGACACCAACCCTAAACATTGAGCCGAACTCCTGGAATCCAGTTGCAGAGAGGGAGGAGTGATAAGAAAAGGGGTCAAGACCAGGTTGGAGAAACCCACAGAGGCAGCTGACCTGAACAAGGGGGAGCTCATGGCCCCCCAGACTGATAGCTGGGAATCCAGCATTGTACCAACTCAGACCCCCTGAACATCCGTCTCAGTTAGAAGGCCTGGGCAGTCTAAGGGACCTCTGACAGTGGAACCAGGATGTATCCCTGGTGCACAAAAGGATACTCCCTTAACCTAGAGGCAGGAGGGAGGGCCTAGTCCCTACTCCAAATAACTTGACAGATTTTGATGATCCCTCCTGGTAGGCATCATCCTCCCTGTGGAGTGGGGGGAGGGTGGGACGGGAGGGGGTTTGGGGGGACATGGGAGGGAACTGGGATCAATATGTAAAATAAGAATATATATATATGAGATCGAGTTAATGCTGATGGTAAAAGCGAGAGGGTAACTTCCTGTTTACCCTGCTTCTCTTGTAAGAATGTTCCCTCCACATAAACAAATACATGATGAGGAACATGTTGTTAGCTGCTCAAAAATGAATGCGTTGTCTCCTTTGACTGTTGTCAATTTTATCTTAGGCTTTAAGAGTTTCCGTTTGTTTTTAAGAATATAAACATAGACAACCCCCACCCAATCTAGGGCATTTTCAGCATCCTGTCCCACCACTCCATCCCATTCCAGGACCTCAGCTGTCCGTGTCTCAGTATGTTTGATGATTCCCCACTGGGTTACCTATTTATTATTTGTATGGTTTTGTTCTCAGTGTTCTGTGAATTGAGAATATATGAGACTCTATTTCTAGATTATTGTTTCTATTATCAAGTGTTGAAACTGCTGCTGACACTATTGACATTTTTTCAGAGATTATCTTTTCAGCTCTGAAATTTCTGTTTAGTTCCTCATGGAGCTCAGCTCATAATATTTGCTAGGATTTAGGATTTGCCCATTGACTGTCCTCATCGTTGCCTTTGATTATGTCAAAGTTCATACAAGGGCTTCTTTAGTGTGTTTACTCATCCAGGTTCTGTGTCATGAAGAGTTAGCTTTGACTGTCTTTTCTATTCCTTGCTCCTCTGAGTACCTGAAAGTATTTGGGTAAAAACTGGAAACTTTTACTTAATATAGTTTAGCAAACATGCATTTTATGTTTATTTTATAATAGTTTATAGTTCTTTATTTTGTTTCTCTTTCTTTTATTTCGTTTATAACTTCTCTAGGCTTAATGTTTGGAACTGCAATATTTACTTAGAAATGTCATTGCCTATTTATAAAATAAATCACATTTATAGTTGTTAAGCCTGACTTCCTGTGGTTCAACCTTCTGTTTGTATAGCCCTGTAGCCAGCTTGGATAGATATTGTGACATTCAGCCTTTCAGTCCTTGTAAGTGAGGCTGTGTAGACTCTAGCAAGTCAGTTAAACTTTTCCTCAGTTCATAGATGCTTTTTTTTTCCTTGCCCTATCTCGGACCAAATGTATAGTTTTTTATTCTTCCAGTGAGCTATGAAGATACCATTTTGTTACAAGAATTCTTAAGGTGAAGCTTGGGCTCTGATAGCCCCAGCAAGCTAAGCAGTACCACATGCCCATGGTAGGTCAGTTAAATAAACACATAATAGTGAAGAAGATTTACTCAATGTTGCCACATTGGAATGAGCAAGGAGTTCCAGCAACCTCCCATTTCATTTGTTAGGGTGCTGCCATGAGGCAGAGGGTTAGATAAAGGATGCAAGGTATGCCGAGCGAAGCAGTCCTATCAAAGCATGGTCTTGTCCAACATCACTGTCTGGGCTTTGACCTCTCCAGCGCAGTTGTCTGACAAACTGTGCAAAATCTTTTTCAGGGAGACAAGCTCCCCCTCTGGAGGACACGAGGGCCCATCCCTTTCCTTTCCCCATCAGGGGACTCTTAGCAGAAATTTTGACATCTTAAGGTTTGTTATTTTATTGATTAAATAGAGAGAAGGGCTTGCATGTCTCTTTAGAATATCTTAATTCCTGCCAGGAGGATGGCAATCCGCCTTTTTCATGAGTCGTTTTCCAGGTTTAACCTAGTGGTCCCCTTCCTACTGTCAAGTCTGCTGATCTTTTGTGATCAGACCCATGCAGGAAATCTACAGCTCTGACACTGGTCCAGCGGGAAGAAGGCAGATCCACCCCAGGCAGGAACACAGACCTGCGGTTCTGATCTAAAGCTCTAGCAGTTTTTTTAAATAAATGATGCTTCTCACGGTTTGGTCTGCTTGGTTGACTTCCAAAGACTGAAATTGCTGTCTTGGGCAATTTTGTTCCATTTTTCTCCTTTTTTTCTTGTTTGTTTGGTTTTGCAAAGAAGGATTCGCTAATTTCTTTTTGGTACCATAACCAGAATTACACATTTGGTTGTTATTTTTTTCAGAAATTGATTTATGGGTGTATTGATAATGTTTTGGTTATGATTTTAAGAGGTCTTTATCGGAATGGAATATACTAAAATATATATAGCAGAATTATAGCATGCTGGCAGTCAATTTAAAATTATGTGCATCAGGAAGAGAGAGTAGACACAGAGAAGAGGCAATATTGGAAGTGAATTGTTGAACCATGGTAGCAGACACCTGGATAGTCATCTCAATTTTCCTTAAATTTTAATGCTTTGAAATTATTTATAAATAAGGACAAATAAATACTGGGACTTTATCTATTTCATCATCAGTGTTAGCATGAGATGAGTATAATGTTCTAACTGAATATTTTTAGAGCAATTTATTTCCCTTGTAAAGCAATTGTACTCATTCACAAGATATCCTACTGGGTCTTGAAGTTTGTAACACAGACATACATTTCTGCATTTAATTCACCCCCCTTTTGAGAATTATCATATTTTAATATGATAGCTTTTCATGATGAATGCTGGCTTGAGCAGGTATTGAGTTTAACAGGGGTCATGTATCACTGAGGGATGGTGCTTCGTGTTCAGTTTCTGATGTGCCTGTGTCTCATCCCTGTTTCTCTTTCCATCTGACATTTGCATAAAAAGTAACTCTAAAACCATAATAAATGTGATTAATAATCTTGTATTAAATCCTTTGTATCAGAGCTTTTTTGGCATCTTTGAAGTGACACAGCCTGGGGAAGGTAAATAAGAAAAAGTGTTTTGATGTCACTGGCATAGAGATTAGATAATAGAAGATTGCTAAAACTAAATCTGGGTCCCAGAAAGCAATGAAATCTTTAGAAAGATGTTTTACTCTGCCTTCCCACCTTCTTCTAGGAACCATTTTTTTAAGGCTTGAAATGTCAAGAGAGTGTTAGAATGAGAAGGGGAGAAGAGGAGGGGAGAGGTGGTCATGAGGGACCAGGAAGATGGAGACAGGGGAAGAATAGAGGAGAACAAGAAAACAGATCCCATAATAGAGGGAGCCATTATAGATTTGAGGAGAAATCTGGCACTAGGGAAATGCCCAGAGATCTACAAGGATGAACCCAACTAACAAACTAAGCAATAGTGGAGAGGCTACCTTTCCACAATAATAAGATTGATGATTACCTTACATGCCATCCTAGAGCCTTCATCTAGCAGCTGATGGAAGCAGAAGCAGAGACCCACAGCTCAACACTAGCCGAACTCCTGGAATCCAGTTATAGAGAGGGAGGAGTGTTGAGCAAAGGGGTTAAGACCAG